TCTTAAAAGGCAAAAATGCAGACTTCCCACAAATCAACTGGTGGTAAAACAGCCAACGAGCAGCTGGCTACAAAAGCTGTTCACAAGAATGCACCCACTGAGAGAAGATCTTCACCCTGAAACCCACAGCGTCCCTTTTCAGCAGGAAGTAGCTAAGAGAATACGCCATCCCCTTTTCCTTATGAATCAGGGTGAAGTCTCTCTCAGGGAGGAGTGATAGGGAATGGCAAAGGACACACCGACAAAGGAGATTAATCAGAACTGACTTTGACAAGCACTGTGGCAATTGGACAATTAAAACAGACATTCGGATGGCGGGGAAGAACAACAAACTGGGGAGGAGGGTAGAGAGAATGGTGCAGTAATGAAGGAATGAAAACCCAAAATCCCTGTAAATGTTCATTAAAACTAATAAAATTTAATAAAAAAAAAAAAAGAATGCACCCACTACCAATTCAACGTCTCTTCCAGTGTCTGGTGCAAAAAATTGCTCAGGACTTCAAAAAAAGATCTGTCAAGACATGTATAACTGTGTATGTAATTATAAACTCCTGACCTGGTGGGGTTGAAGTGTCTGTTTCACATATAGGACTTACAAGTACCTCTCACATGAGAAATTATGAGAAGGGGTGGAAAGGGCAGGGAAAGGAAAGGATGGCACACAGCTTCTGGCACCAAGAATTAACTATGTTGGATCCAAAGGTGAGCCTGAAACGAGCTTATGCTTCACAGCCGGGCTGTAAGATGGACTTGAACCCAGCTGACAGGCCAAGGCCGTGGTGTGCCCAAGGTGGTGACATGTGAACAAAGTGTGTAAGATGTGTCCAGCAGCAGCAGCAATGAAAGAGAGTACCAAATAGACTTTGAAGGACCAAAGGTTTTAAAAAGTCACTGGGTATCACTCCCTCACAAATGGGGTCAATTTGGTTTTCAAATTGGGTACCTGACTGATGTTCTTCACTGACTTTTGACTCATTCACTCTAGCTTTATTGGTCTGAACCAGCTCCTTCTTCCTAAGTTACAGACTTACCATTCCAATAATCTTGTTTCACTTGGAATGAATGAGTAGCTCTTAAAATGTAGTCTGAGTCTCACAGGTCCAAATGACTGTCAGTGTGTAACCAGATGTCTCAAACCCCAGGGAAGAGTCAATTCAAGGTGTTTACTGACACAGGCTTCTGCTTTGGGCTCTGCTGTTTGCACAAAAGAAACCCCAGAAGTGAGCAAACATGGCCTCTTCTCAGCAGTACCCTGGGCTTTTGTCATTATAAATGGATTTAAATGTGATATGACAAGATCAGAGAAATTGGATGTAAATTTACATTTTTAAATATGCTAGTTATTTCACATGAGTATGCAGTTCCTTTTGTAGTTATTTTTACTGTTTAAATTTGGAAATTATGGCAAATGCATTTTTTTAGTGTGTTCTCTTCAGTGATATACATTGCATTATATATTGATGTGCATCAATATACACTAATACCTATTACACTTACACATGTTGTTATGTGCTTTCGAGTCACCTGCAACTCAACAGCTCTGAACCTGGCTCCATCCTGAGCCAACCGAATTGTCTCCGACACACTTACCCCCATTATGCTAGTTACTGAGTCAATCCATCTCATCAAGGTTCTTCCTCTCTTGTGCTGTCCCTCCACCCTCAAGCATGATGTCCCTCTCCAAGGACCGATCCCTCATTGCAACATGCCTAAAGTATGTCAGACAAAGCTTTAGAATCTTTGCCTCCAAGGAACAGCCTGGTTTCACCCTCTCTAGGACGAACATGTTTGTTCTTCTAGCAGTCCATGGTGTATTCAATACTTTTCTCCAGCATCACAACTCAAAGGCATAGGTTCTTCTATCATCCCTAGCCACTGTCCAGGTTTCTGACACATAGCAAGTAATTCCAAAGACTATGGCCTGGATCGGGCACAGCTTAGTCTGCAGACTGATATAGTTTTTCTTCAGCACTCTGGAGAGGCCCCTGACAACAGACTTTGCCAATGCAGTTAATCTTTTTATTTCCAGGCTGCTGGTACTAAGAGTGTTGATTATATTCCCTTCTCACTGTGTCTTTCAAAGACACCTATACTGTAATGTTGTCTTGAAGGAACCTTGGTAGCACAATGGTAAATGGTAAATGGCTGCTAACTGAAAAGGCTGGTGGCATGAACACACCCAGAGGTTCTGTGGGTGTTTGCTCCTGGACTAGACCCTGGTCCAGTTAAAGGACATTAATGGAAAAAGGTAAGTCTATTTCTTTATATAAGTGGCCCACAATGTTGCATTTAGTACTGTTATTATAGTCTGTACTCATTAAGTATTCACAGACCTTAGACCATGCTATCTCAATGAATGCTTATTTCCCCAAAACTAGAGTATTACCACCTGACATTAAACACTCTGATTTGGGGTGGGGGGTGTTAATCATAAGAGTTGCACAATTTGATGGGTGGGGGTTAAGGAAATGGGAAAGATCCAGTGTAAAAAGCAATGTATTCAAACTTTGTAAATAAACTAGTATGAGGGAAAAAAACGAAAAAACCTGATTCAGAGAGATTAAGGAATTTCCCCCCAAGATTGTTCAACTAGAAGTGGTAAGACAGTAAGCTGAATTTATCTGTAAGACTTGATGCATTTTAATCATAGCATTTCTCAGACAACTCTTTTTCAAGAAATCACTGCCTATTCAGTCTGTCATGAGGAGAGTTGAAACTTTACCAAAGTCTGAAGTTAGAAGGCATGAAGCCACTGCGTGAATCAGTAGGCAGGGTCACTAACCTCAGCTCCTGCTTCTATAGAAATTGTTTGATCTTCCATTAAAAAATTTACAGCTTCCATTACTTGAACCCAATGAAAAAGGATTCAGAAGATCATTTCTATTTTTTAAAAGGTCAATTAAAAGAAATAACAATTCTATGATATTGATTCTATTTTATTTCTAATGGAATTATCACATACAGATTCTTGAATATTTTATAATTCTGGAATATCCTCCACCAACTAGATGTCAAGTGATTGAGTCTTCTCTTTCAATGTCAGTGGAATCTGGTTTTCCTGCCCCTCACACAAATCTCAACACTGTGATTTATGTTCCCGAACAAATGAGATTTAATTTAAAATCAAATTATCAGCAACAGGTTTAATAATCTTGGCAGAACATTATCATTAATTGCTTTCTACTCAACATAGATGGAAGGATTAGTGCTGTCATGTAATGATTTTTCCCCTTCCCCTAGAACTTTTTTATCAGTTTTAAATTATAAAGACATTGGTTTACTTCATATTTAATCATCACAATTTAACATCTGTGGTAATGTTTATAAGAAACTTGTGAATGATGACTTTTAACCACTGAGCTCTAGTAGTATCGTCCAAAGCAACCTGTACTGTTAACCCAAAGGCCATCCATGGGAGAAAGATGGCTTTTCCAACTATGATTTACAGCCTCAGAAACTTGATGGAAGGTCATTATGAGTTGAGACAGATTCATCAATAGTGAGGGCTTAGGTTTTGGTTTTTTGCGTTTGTTGGGTTTTGGTTTTTTTTAAGTGAGGATTTTTTAGCCATATTCTCAATTCCTGTTCGCTAAACACAGGTCCTTTGGGTTTCATGAGAATCAGACTGGAAACTGTCTTGGGGTTTAGGCAGTTGAAAAACCCTTGCCTCTGTGAAACTAGCAGGTGGATAGGGAGGGTGACAAATACTTGAGTGATTTTATAAGTGTTTTTCTTCCTTGTGTAGAGTATCAGCTTCACTACTATTTATACCTCAGTGATAAGCAAAAAGAAAACATTTTTACCCCTTCCACAGAGGTTTAACACTAGTTTTTAAAGGCATTTTGTAGTAAGTTTATAAAACACAACTAAATAGACTTCATTTTCCCAAACCTGCTCACTATGGTGTTATTCATAGAAACGATTTGACAGTCTTTCCAAAGAGCAGTTAGAAATAGCTAACGCAAACCCATGTATGGTTCCCAGGGCAAGTGAATCTCTTACTAAATGTGTAATGATTAAATTTAAAATTCTAATTAAAAATCTTTTCAGAGATACAATTATAACCTTAAATTTTTACCCCCCAACTTGTTGCTTGTCTTTTCTCACACATTCTGTACAAATTTAATAACAAGAATGGTACCTACCTTCTATGAGGTGGATTGATTCAGTGACTGGGATAGTTGGGATGGGAGTGTCAGAGACAGTGCGATTGGCACAGGACAGAGCGGAGTTTAGGGCTGTTGTACATAGGGTCGCTATGAGTCGCAAGTGAGTCGCAAGCGACTCGCCGGCACATAACAACAACAACAAACAATGGCACTGAATCTCAGAAAGTCATGAGAATAAATTAAAAAAAATAGTTTGTATAATCAATTGTGATTAAATAAGACCCTACTTTTCACAACAATCAGTATTGAGATGATACAAATTTGGAGTCATTATTAACTTTATTTGTCACTCTTTATAGACATTGGTCCACTTCCACATGAAAAGTGGAATTATCCACTTCCAGTTAATAATCTATAGAATGAAGTTGTACTGCAAACCATATATACTTATACAGGAGGAAAAGTACTGAAATAAATATTTCATGGTCATGCCCCAAAGTTATATTTATTTATTTATTTACAAGCATCTATACCTCCACCAAGCTAGTTTCTTCTTAGAGCAATGTAGTACTTTCAAAATCCACACCAGAAATACATATCTCAGAAGAGCTTAAAAAATAGCTATCCTCTGTCAATCAGAATACAGTTCCAAAACTAAGCAACTGTGTAAGCACACCCATTATTTTAGGGCTGCTCTTGGTTAAAAACCTTTTCCTCTTGTTTCAGAGATACTTATATCAAATCAGACATTTATAAATGGTTCATAGTATACAACGACCCAAGTAAGATTTTCACCCATCCTGTGTAAGGAAGCTGGGTATCCTTAAGTTTCTCTAACACATTCAGTGCAGGTTTTTTAACATAAATAACACAAGCTAACCTAAATGTTTTACATGTATTTCAGTACATATTTCCAAGTATTAAAATGGAATGAAATTATATTCTTAAATGGTTATATCATATTTGAGGCATATTGTGGAATCTGTATCACACAATTTGAGTCACATCAGTACTATTAATTCACTGTAAAAAAAGTCATGGGCACACACACACACACAAATAAGAACAATATTTGCTTTCCCCCCCCTAAATGTAAAGTATACTATTTACTTTAAACCACTGAAAGGTTTATTTTAACAAAACATCAAATTTACAAACCCTTTTGATAAGTCTGATGTAAGGAAAGATCAATCCATTCGGATCTTCTGGTTTGTCATCCTATAAATGATACTATCATACCCAGGATCCATGTTCCAAACATTGTAAGAGATGATAATCACAGCCAAGGCCAAGGCGATCATTATCCAAAGGACCATGTTAAAAACCACTGAATACTCAAAATTATACTTATATGCCAGGTTATAGGGAGTTGGTGAGTTCTATAATCAAGGGAGGGGAAAAAAGGAAAATCAAAAGAGAAGCATTATAAACGAGCAAATTATTCCAGTTTGATAGCTAGGATTCATTTACATAACAGACATTTATTCCTAAGTGACATCAAAGTTATTTCTATGAGGAGGAACCAAGGAGGAGTAGTTTCATGGGGAAGACACTTGTACTGTTGATGAAAGCATAAACTGGTCCAACTGCTTGAGAAAATGTGATACCAAATCAAGTTCAAAGTGTATATATTTTGTGATCCAGCAAGTTCTAGGGAAAACTTGCCCTAAGGAAAACTTTTATATGTATATTAATAGACAGGTATAACAATGTCCATCATCAAAATGGGTGATGTTGGCATGTCTACGTCATGGAATAAACACAGCAATGATATATGATATATATATGATATATATATATGATATATATATGATATATGATAGCTACGTTCATCAGCCTACATGAAACTTAAGAACAAGACTGAGCTGAAAGCATAAAACATAGAACATAATTCATTTATATGAACTGCAAATGCAGACAAAAGCAAATATTAAGGGTAAATACAGATGCAGTCAAAATGAGGAAAACCACAAGACAACGACAGGACAACTATTAAGATGGGATTTCAAAGCAACAGGTGCTGTTTTTCTTAAACTATACAATGGGTTTAAAATACTATCTAAGGTAGATGGTTTTATTTTTTAATTGGTAGTCAATATTATATCATGTTTTCTGGTGGTGCAACAGCTGAGCACTCAGTTGCTAACAGAAAGGACATTGGTTTGAACCCACCAACCACTCTGCGAAAGAAAGACGTGGAGATTTGCATCCATAAAGATTACAGAAACCCTCTGGGGCAGTTCTGCTCTACCCACTAGAGTAAACCCATAGGTAGACCCATAGGGTCATTATTACTCAGAATCAAGCAACACCACCTAATCACAAATGTTACATACTTATGTATAATTCACTTACAATAAAATTTTAAAATGTAAAGTGGAAAACCAAATGATGCTTTAATCACATCTTAGATCTCAGGATCTACTAGGCCTGGGTAAGGAAGGAATGATTCCAGATATCTGCAAAGGCACTGTTTAGCAAAATATTCATTTTAGCTAGCGAATGAAAGAGTAGGAAAGTAGCAGGAGCTGAAGCTAGAGGTCCAGACACTTTGGTGACTTTGCACTTAGAGGCAATGAGGAGCATCGAGAACAGTGACATGATCAGATTTGTCCTAAAAGAGAACTGGTGACAATGTACAGGATGGACTTGGAAGGTGCAAGCTAAGGTGTTTTATCTTCCACTCTTAGGTTGGTCCTTCAGGTATAGAAAGGGGGTGATTTCAACTGGAAGAGAGGAGGTTTACATAGGTAAGAGTAGTTACATGCAGGGAGGGTAGATGTAAGACAAACATTAAGAGAAGGTCCCTCTTGAATGTGTAATGTTTTAAAATAAACCTGTTCCCACACGCACACATACTTAAAAAGTATACAATTCACTATACTTCTCAAGATTCAGAATGGTACAATTATGACTACAATTTAATTTCATAAGATTTCTACAACCCTAAAAAGAACCCTCATGCTTCTTGGTGAAGTAGTTGAGACTGTCAGTCCAGATGTAAGAGGGTGGAGAAAGAAGAATAATGACAATAGGCAATGAAAGAGAGACTATGCAGGAGGGTATTCCAAAAGATCTTTAGTACAAGCCTTCCTTCTCAAAGTGTCTCTTATAATGTAACAAATCAGTGTTATAAAACAAAATGTATATGAATGATTGAATGAAAACCCCTCCAAAAAAAGGAAGGCAAAAAAATTCATGCAGGTAAATCAGGAAATAAGAATATTAGTAACATAATTAACAGATTCAATCTAACAATGCTTAAAATTCACAGCACCTACATCCCAGAGAGAATAAAATAGATGAATGAGACCTTCTAAAAATCAAATCCCTATCCACGTCAATAAACTTCTACAAACAAGGTAAAAAGGAAACTGGGGGAAAATATTTAGCAATCACATATCTGATATCGAAAATTTATAGAATACTCCAGCACCTGGAGGTAAACAACCCAATCACAAAATGGGCACAGGATATGAACAGACACTTCTCCAAAGACGACATTCAGATGGCAGACAAACACATGAAGAAATGTTCAAAATCTCTAGCTATTAGAGAGATGCAAATGAAAACAACTATGAGAGAGCATCTCACTCCAGCAACAATAGAAAAGTTCAACAGGGTAGCAGACAAATGCTGGTGAGGTTCAGGAGAGATTGGAACCGTTATTTACTGCTGGTGGGAGTGCAAAATGGTACAGTGACTATGGAAAGTGGTCAGGCGCTTTCTCAAAAAATTGGAAATAGAAATACCATTTGACCCAGCAATTTCACTACTGGGAATATTCCCTAAAGAAAGCAGAGTTAGGATTCAAACAGATGTATGCACCCATGTTTATTGCTGCATTATTCGCAAAAAGATGGAAGCAACCCAAGTGCCCTTCAACAAATCAATGGATAGAAAAACTCTCGTTCACATACAGAATATTATACAGCATTGACAAACAAGGAACTCATAAAATATTACACAACATTGGGGAGCCTGGAGAACATATCTCAAATGAAAGATCTCAGTCACAAAAGGACAAAGACTGCAAAACACTGCTGTTATAAAATAGGATGACATGGTGTTGGAGTAAGAATGGGAAGAGAATAGATAGATAATGAACACTGTATTAAAACAGATGAGGGGAAGAAGTGTCCGAAAGGAATATATGATGAGGTATTATATTTATGACAACAATATGGAACAAGGGGTGCATTATGGAGTGGGTTTGAGGAAGGGGAGAGGTGGGGGTAAGAAAATGTTTAACAATGGAAAAAAATACTATTTTTTAAAAGTCAAGAAAAAATAAAATATAGAAAAAAAAACCCAACACAATAGCAATATTCATAATGGACAAAAATTTGAAAAAACTCATATGTCCATCAATTGATGAATTTATGGATAAAATGTAGTTTATACATAAAATGAAAACTAATTCAGCCATAAAAAGGAATGAACTACTGATACATGCTACAACATAAAAAAACTTGGAAAACAAAATGTATTCACTTTTAGATTACATACACAAAGTGTTAAGCCACTACCCTGTAGATAAAGAAAATCCAAGGACATTACCTGATTCTGGCTCCATATCACACATGCAATAATTTGAGAAACTAGTTCCTGATTAACTTATCTATTAAGGCAGCTGATTCATTAACTCAGCCTAGTGCCTCAGAGTACACAAAATAATTCACTCTGCAAAACTGGCCTGTCAAATTTCCAAAAGTGTTACATTCAGACTGGTACACTTTTCTCTGGAGTCACTTCATGGACAAATTAGCAGGCCTAACCTGGACAATGTTGAAGGAATTTCCTATATAAAATAAGTTAAACTGTGTCTCAAAAAAAAATGTGTGTGTGTGTGTATTTTAAAAAGCACCTTGTTATTTTTTCCTTATTTGGTTCCTCTTTAATTAGCTGTTGTTTTGTTGTTAGGTACCACTGAGTCGAGTGCGACTCATAGTGACCCTATAAAAAAAAGATCTGAATCCTGTTCTATCCTGTGCCATCCTCACCCTTTCTGACACACAGTGCCCATTGCAGCAGTCACTGTGTCAATCCACCTGGTTGAGGGTCTCCCTCTCCTTCACTGGCCCTCTACTCTTCCCAACATCATGTCCATCTCCAAGGAATAGCACCTCCTAGTGACATACCCAAAGTATGTAATTTTTTTTTCTCATTCTGGACAATTGTCATGACAATAATACACAGTCATATATTCCTCCTAAACAGTTCTCTCCCCCATTTGTTTCAATGCAGTATACATTAATTACCCCCTTTTAGTTTTCCCAACGCCAATGTCAGTCCTGCTTTACAACAGTGGAACTATGTAGTATTTGTCCTTTTGTGACTGAGATATTTTACTCAGCATGTCCTCCAGGGTCACCCATTTTGTATAATATTTAATGAGTTCCTTGTTTTTCAATGCAGCATAGTGTGAATATATTGTGTGAATATACCACAGCTTCTCTATCCATTCGTTTGTTGATGGGCATGTGGTTGTTTCCAACTCTTTGCTATTGTGAACAAAGCTACAATAACCATGGGTGTGCATATATCTGCTTGGGTAGCAAAGTATGTAATTTAATTCAATCTTTACTATTATTTTAGGTGGCCTAACGGTAAGGAGCGAACACTGCCAACTCAAAGGCATGCAGTTCCAATCCACTGGCAGCTTCATAGGAGGAAGACAGGCAATCTCCACCCTTACCATTTACAGCCTCTAAAAACCTGTTGCAGGGTCAGCTATTTGTCTGTTCTGACTTGAGGGCACATAGTAACAACATACTAAAAACTTAAACTCACTACCGTTAAGTAGGAAATGATTCACAGCTGACCCTCCAGCTTGTTTTCTGAGGTTGTAAATCACTCAGGAGGAGATTACCCATCTTCCTCCTTGGAGTTGCTGGTGCCTCTTGGTTAGCAGCACAACTCCCTATGGACTATGCTAATGGCCTATACTCATATTCCATTAAAGCTACTGGATGTTAATTCTGCTGTTGGACACTATGAATGTGTATACACATTCATAGTGGATTGGCTCCACCTGCAATTTGCACTCTTTGCGAGCACTGAGGGAGAGCCTGCCTCTGCCTTGCAGGCTCTATCAATTTCAGTCCCAAACCCATATGATGGTAGCTCTGTGGATAAGAATTTCTCTCCTACCATATACTCTGACCACACCAGAACATGCCTTTCCTTCATCTCCTTTTGCATGGGTCAACAGTTTTCTGCTCTATCTTCTCACTTGACCTTTCAGATCCCAGATTTTAAGAAGGCATATAAATTCCCACTGTCCACTTCAGAGAGCTAAAGGTATTACTTCCAGTGTCTTGGTAACTTGGTCACTCAAATGCTACAGCTTTCAGGTGTCTACCTCAGTTGCTTCTTAAGAATTTCCTAAATGTTAATGGAAAAACAGTATGTAGAGGGATAAGAGAATATATGGATGTCAGAAGAAACTATAAAAGTTGTATTACGGGGGGAAAAAAGAACAACAAACTGGGGAGGAGGGTAGAGAAAATAGTGCAACAATGAATGAATGAAAACCCAAAATCTCTGTAAATGTTCATGAAAATTAATAAAATGTAATAATTTTTTTTAAAAAGTTGTATTACAGCATTGAGAAGCCAAGGCAAAAAGAGATACTGAAGTAAGAGAGCTGAAAAGATTATTTCAAAGGGCAGCTTGAGAAGACAAAGAAAAGTATTATAACAAAATGGGCAAAGAGCTGGAGTCAAGGAATAAAAAAAAGTAGAACTTGTTTTGCATTTCTCAAGCTGAAAGAACTGAAGAACAAATTTAAGCCTCAAGTTGCAATACTGAGATGTCATGGGCAAAATATTAAATGATCCAGGAAGCATCAAAAGAAGATGGAAGGAGTACAGAGAATCACTATACCAAAAAGAATTGGTTGACACTGAAGAATTTTAGTAAGTATCATGTGAGCAAGAGTCCATGGTAACAACAGAAGAGATTCAAGCTGCGCTGAAGACACTAGCATAAAATATGCCCCCAAGAATAGACAGGATACTGACTGACATGTTTCAGCTAACAGATGCACCCCTGGATGTGCTCACCAGACTATGCCAGGAAATTTGAAGACAGCTACCTGAATGACTGACTGGAAGATATTCATTTTAGTTCCCATTCCCAAAAAATGGTGATCCAACAAAATGTGGAAATTATTGAATCATTATTGAATTATTGAATCATTAATATCACAAGCAAGCAAAATATTGCTGAAGATCATCCAAAAATGGCTGGAACAATACACATTGACAGGGAGTTGTGAGAAGTTCAATCTAGGTTTAGAAGAGGCTGTGGCACTAGAGATATCACTGATATCCAGTAGATCCTAGCTGAAAGCAGAGAACACCAGAAGAATATCTTTGTTTTATTGACTATGAAAAGACATTTGACTGTGGCTAATTAGTGGCATCTACTTCCAAAACAATATGCCTCTGGAAACTCTATGAACTTTGATAAATGCAAAAGGCTTCAGTCCTTTTGTTCATAGGGTCACTATGAGTCGTGCTTGACTCAAAGACAATCAACAACTATGGCCAACATTGAGAAGAATGGGAATACCCAAACACTTAAATATATTGATGCAAAATCTATACCTAGATCGAGAAGCTGTTGTCTGAATGGAGCAAGGCAATAGTGCATGGTTTAAAATCAGGAAGGATGACCATCAGGGATGTATCTTTTCTCCATAGTTATTAAATCTATTGGCTCTGTATGCTGAGCAAATACTTCTTTTTTTTTAAATTTAGGTTGTTTATTTTTCATTTCCATGAACATCTACAGAGATTTTGGGATTCCATTCATTCATTGTTGCACCCTTCTCCCCGCACAAACCCCTCCCCCCTCCCCCGAGCAAATACTTCTTAAAGCTGGAATCTCTGAAGAGAAATATGACAGAAAGAGGAAGACTTATCAACAACCTGCATTATGCAGACGACACAACCTTGCTTCCAGAAAGTGAAGAGGACCTGAAAGACTATGGCTTTCGATATGAATTATATCTCAACATCAAGAAAACAAAGGTCTTTACCACTAGGCCAATAGTTTGAATGGTCCTAATATGTGATTAATAATTTTTATTAGGATAATGGAACTGTCAACTATTTTAAAAATAAATCATCTATACATTAGAACATAATGATAAATGGAGAAAGAATTAAAACTGTTAATGATTTAATCTTGCTTGGATCCACAATAAACAGCCTTGGTACCAGCAGTCAGGAGATAAGGAGACGTATTGCTATGGGAAAGTTGGCTGTAAGAGACCTCTCAAAAATAATGAAGAGCTGTTGTGTCAGTTTGAAGACTAAGGTGCACCTGGATTCAGGTCATGGTCTTTTCTATGACTTTCTTTGCATCTGAAAGCTAGTCAAGGATGCCTTTGAATTGTGGTGCTGGAGAAGAGTGCTGAATATTTCACGGACTGCCAAATGAACAAATAGGTATGTCTTGGAAAAAGTGCAATCGGCGTACTCCTTAGAGGGAAGCATGGTGAAGCTTTCTCTTTCATACTTTGGACATGTTGCTAGGAGAAGCTAATTCCTTGGAAAAGGATATTATATGAAGGGTCAGTGAAAGAAAGGAAGACCTCCAATGAAGAAGATTGACATGTTGCTAGGAAAAGCTCATGCCTTGGAAAAGGCTATATTAGGTAGAGGGCCAATGAAAGGGAGAAAGATCCCCAGTGGGGTGGACCGACATGGTGACTGCAGCAATGGGTTCAAGTGTATACAGGATTCAGGTCTGTTGTTCACAGGTTTGACAGTACCTTACAACAACAAAGGTAATATATGGGAACTCTGCACAATTTTTCTGTGAACCTAAAACTGCTCTAAAACCTGTAATTTTATTTTAAAAATTCCCTTACTTTCTTGAAGTTCAACTACGCAATTCCAGCTGTTTTATAGTAAGAACATTTTGGCATAGTTTAGCTTTCTACGTTATCCTAAACGGAGTTCCTTCTATTCCAATTCAATTTAGAAGGAAATAATCTCAAACCAGTTGTCTCTAGATTATCTTAAACAAGTATTATCTTTGATCTTCTTTCCAAAGCTGTACTCTCAGTAAAACAGAACTACAAATAGGTGTGAATCAGACTGCATATAGTCAGAATCGGCCCCAATAGGGGCCAACAGCCTGATTTTTAACTTCTAGCCTCCAGAACTCTAAGGGAATAAATTCCTATTGTTTTAAGAGAAACAAAAAGGAATGTATATAAATGATTTGGTACCTGACTGCAAGTGACTGATGCCAGTGAGAAAGAATATTCTTGGCCACACAGTTTTGGAACATTTACACTTTGGTTCTTTTCCATAACCCCCTGGATATGCTGAAGCTACCTGTATGTATGTGTGTACACACACACACACACACACACACACACGTTATAACATGGTCTGTTGGTGGGGTGATGTTATATACTGTCCAGTTGGAACCAACTCATAGCTGACCCTCTAGCAGGTTTTCAGAGGCAGTAAATAGTATGGGAGTAGACTGCCCATCTTTCCCCGACTGATCATGTCTATGGCCCTGTAAATGCTTTAAATCAAAGTAAGCTCCACACCAGAAAAGTGTAGAAGTAGCCATATTATAAAGAAGTGTACACAACATACAGAATTCTAGAAAATGAAGGACTGTGCCACAAAGCGCATGCACTTCTGTCTGAATCCTCTTTCCAGCTTTGACAGATTTACTCTTATCCCGAACTCAAATTCTTGAATTACCTAGTTATAAGGCCAAAGACACTGGCAAGACACCTTACTCAGTTATTTTATATGACTGAGAAACCTATGTTTTAACTGTAATTGGTTTTCAGATTTCCTGGCTGCTTGTTCATGGCATCTATGGTGATACAGACTTTAATTTTTTTAAAGTTAATTTTATAATCTTAAAGCCGGATCTAAAAATGTACTCACCATCTGTTGTGCCTCAAGGATTGTCCTTGTCTTTCTCACAAGGGATGTGTCAAATGATTTGACTGTCACCAACTCTACCACCGCATTCCCACCATAAAGATTGTACATGTCATCTGCAAACTGAAAATTTATTAACATTATTATGAACCACAAATCCATGCTGATTGAATTATTCATAAAGCTTCAGTGCAGCTATAAGAACAACAGAGTTTACCCACTGGCTCATGAAATATACTATGTGTTAGAAGAGACAAGTCTTACAGGTACAGATTTAGTTAAATATCTGGAAAGTTTCAAGCTTCAAAATAAATCCGTATGCTCAAACTAGAATAATTTAAAATATAAAGTAAATTTTGACATATACACTTGGGAAAGGCTACAAAGAAATCTTACAAAGTGGTTTCTGATTAACAAAAAATATCTACAACATGGAGCCACACTGAAGAGTTTTAGATTATGAGCAGAGAAAGACGACCATTACACATCTCCTCAGCATCTAGCATCACACTACTACTACATGTTCTACTTACAGTATCTATTTCTTAAAGAACCTCAATAAAATTCTGAGAGTCAGCGCCCAGAGCTATCAGGGGCTTTAAGCTTGTTTGTCCACTGCTGTGGTGTGGACAGCTGAAACCCAGGCCCCGACAGGCACCTGGGGGGG